TTCTTTTTCTTCTCTCTCTCTCTCTCTCTCTCTCTCGCTCTCTCTGTGTACTCGTATCGTCTCTGTGTGTTCACGAGAGAGCGCCGGCCCTTTGATAAGGGTGCTCGCGGATCTGACCCAGGTGCCTACGCTGCTTGGCAGCGGCCGCCGCTGCGCCTGTCGCCAACATACATACAGCATGAGTGTGGTCAGCAGGACCGTCATTTCCATGATTACATCATCACTTTTCGCCGCGCGGATCCGCGGGGGATCCGCGCCCATCCGCCCGTCTCGGCCCGCTAAAAAAATCTAGAATCTTGCCGCTATTATCAGTGCAAAAACGACACACATCGGAGAAGGAACCCGTATCACGATGAAAAATCAGCACTTCTCCGACCGATGATCGACAATACGGACGGCGAATAGGAATTTTTGCTATTTGAAACATATACCCGCGAGTAATAAATCTGAACCGGGGAGAGTACCTTCCAATTTTTTTTTTTTTCTTCGTGCCACGGATTCCGACCACGACGACGTCGCTACGACGCTGTTGGTCACCGAGACAGAAACGGTCTCTACACCGCCGTGCACGGAATAGCTACCTCTTCCGAGAGCGATCGGGGTGATTCGTGGCGACGTCGTCGGATAATGCTGATCGTTGCCTCCAGTCTACGATCGATGCGCGAGCACGCGATCGTTAAACGCGATCCCCGTCTCCGGAGACCGCGGAAGCTACTAAATGCCTGAAACTCGCGCGAAATACTGTGGACATGGAAAATACTGCAGAAATAACGGTAACGCGCGACACTCACCGATGCCCGCACCCGCGTAAGAATACACATTTACTTCTGCACTTCTTACTTTCGGCTCGAGCATCGCGAGCGTGGAATATATGGAGACACGTCGCTGCTCCAATCGCGACAATTATTACCTTGGAAAAATCCTTGAGATTTACGTCTATTTCTACTATATATAAAATTAACTTTAGTCTTGCCTTAAAATTTACTCTATACTTTTTTCTAATTTTTAGAATTAAAAAAAGATAAAAATAATTAAACCGAGACGATCTAAACTTTTCACCGCTCCGTCAACAAAATATTTTTTTAAAAAATATGTAATAAAAAATATAATAATTATTGATATACACTGATTAATTCGTTTTAACGTATTTAAATTCTCCTTGCTCAAGAGATATTATATTGCGATGAAACAACGATTCACGATGATGTTTTCTTGTTCCGATCTCTCACGTGGCTCACGTTCGATCGTATTCTTTAGGCCTGAGGCAAATCTGCCTCTACCAGAACACTGTAAAAATACTGTAAGTCATCAGTGAAATTGTGCATTCCTGAAATAATATATTAATGTTAACATTCCTCGCCTTCTCGCGGGGGAGGGGGGGGGGCCGAGACATGACTTCGTCGGAGCACACATATTTACTTACTTACTTATTTACCTATTAAACAAAATCTACCGTATAGATATGACACCTCCCTTTCGCTTCTCGTCGCTTCTAGGTACATCGGAGATTTTTGCGTGTACGTATATGTATTTATATATAAAACTCGTTAAATATCGACTCGAGGGAAGAATCTATTACTTAACATTGGGCTTCCTCTCAACTTTTCGCGCGCGATCAAAATCGCACTTTTGATTCTCGTCAGTGAAATAATCAGGTAAGTCTTTATCATGTAAGCTAAAAAAGAAATGTATCCAACCATTCTACTCGTTCCTAACAACAATGAGTATTCGGATTACATCTACCTGTTGCTTCGGCCCTCAACCTCATATAAATATATCTATATAAACAGCTAAATCTTTATATAAAAATAAAATTAAATAAACGTATAAAATAATATAATATATAGCGATAATATAATATATATGTGTATATATATATATATATATATATATATATATATATATATATATATGATTTTTGCATAGCGTCATATTTAAATATTACTTAAAGACTATGCCATCAAAAAGAGTATTGAGTATGTCTATAAGATAATCTGTATAAATACGTGCGCTAAAATCATCATACGATTCTCCTTTGTTTGTTCTTTCTGCGGGGATGAGGGGGAGGAGAGGTGTGGTTGCGCGATAATGAGAAAACAAAAAAAGAGAGAAAGTACTTTTTCAACGCATAGTCTTATCCGTATCGTCTGGATTCCGCTACTAGTAAACGCTAGAACCATCAGTCCTGAAAATATTGTTTGGTCCCTGGGTAATATTCTCCCTCCACCTATTATTGCCTGGCTAAAAAAGAATCCTACGTTATATTTATTAGGCTACCTATCGGTAATTAGGCTACCAGCCATCGTATGGCGTGTCGCGCGATAGATCCGTTTGTATTTATTACCGATGAGATTACGATGAATCCTCGCTAAATGGCTCGCTAATCCGATCGCTAATCGTGCTATTGATGACGATCATCTCTGAATCATCTCGATCTTTGATCCGTTTTTTCTTTTTTTCCCTCAAACCGCAGAATACTCGCGATTACGTTTTCTCGCGCGAACAGCGAAGAAGGCGGAAAAGGCAACCCGCGAGTCTACACAATTGAAAATATAGATTCTTCCTCTTTCCCGTTTACTTCGTTTTTGTTTTTCCGTTTTTCTTTTTTTTCAGATGACTATCGCTGCGCTCGCTAGGCGATTCGCGTAATTACTTCGCTAGAGCCGTTCGCAAAGAGTTACGTAATTAGAGGTACGGTTTTCATCCGGATGAGGCGGGAGCGAGGGAGAAGACAAAAGGGAAATTGTAATGTCAAGTGAGTTTCGTAGGAGAGGTGGACGGATCAAGTTATTAGTTGTTTAGTGTCGCGTGTTAGATCAACCCGAGGGATTCGAATGGGGATTCTAGTGGTACTTCGTAGTAGCAATCGTCGTTAAAAATGTAAATTTAAAAAAGCGTGTTTATGAAACGCGCGAGAGATTAAAAAAGAGGAAAATAAAAAAAGTAAGAAAAAGAACACCGAACTAAAATTCAATTAATGCACCACCACCACTCTAACGATAAACCATTATTTAAAACGGTTATGATTATTATTATTATTTTTAGCAAGGAGAAGAAACGTTCCTGACGACGGTACCTGTCTCCTCTTCCCGTCGTCGAAGCTAAAATTAAACTCGAAAGAAAGCTTTAAAAGAAAAAAAATCTACATTATGCAATACTAACATCGTCTCTACTTCAATAAATATATAATATATCCTCTGTGAAATCTACACACTGCACTACCTACACACGTACGTGTATTCGTAAAAATAGCTACAACAACGAAATGGCCTTTGATTATACTGCACTGAGTAATGCGCGACGGCGCGCGTTGCGGATCTCTCGTCGACCGTAAGAAAAATCCAACACGTGAGATATACGCAAATATACACATGTTTACATTTATAAAGGGTGTACCATATCGGGCATTCCCTTACGGCTTGTACGTCAAGAGACGCGAGCATTCACCGGGTAACTAGATGCCTTTCCATCGAGGGGGAGAAGATCTTCGCGTCGATCTTCCGTGTGTATTCGCGCCGGAAATATTCCCGAACACTCTGTATCTTTATTCGGCTCGTTGGATTTAAACAAGAGGCACCGATCGAACATCGCGTGCGTCAGTAAGTCGTAAACTCTCTCGTACCACTCTACGGGAAGCACTTTGGATATTGGTGAGGAGGACTGGACGGGATTTCTCGCGTATCTGAAATATCTCGGCGTGTATTTCGCTTCTTCTTTTTTTCCTCTTTCTCCTCTTTTCTTCCCGAAGACGAGACTCCGCGCGGGCTTCTTTCTGGCTAACGGTTCTCCGCGACGACGTCGTAATTCTCGGCCACGCCGATGCGACCGAGTTTAACGCGATCGTCCCGTCGTTGGATCACCGCGGCCTCCTTGGGACCACGGCGTGAAATTTGCCCGATTTTTAAGAGGACGAAGGCACCTCCGATCGACATGACATAAATATAGACATTTTTAAAAGTGAAAATATCGAATTTCAAGCAACGTTTTCTATTAAACAAATTAATAATAAAACCGTAAATCAAAAATAATTTATTCTATTACATTTCACATCTTCAATGATGAAACTATTTCTCGCCTATGTGAGACAATTTCTTATTTTTCTCAGGATGCCTTCTGTGCAGTCATACATATGTATGTCCTTTAAAAATAGATTGATTTGAATTTCAGATCTATGAGTTTCTCAATCTATGAATTTCCTGGTACGTAAAGAGATACGTAACTATAAAGAGATATGTAATTAAAAGGAAAAATCAAAATCTTCATTTTCAACCAGGCAGAATACTTTCGTCCTCTTTTATCGAACAAAATTGTACCGTGTAGCGATTCTAAGACGGCTCAAGGGGAAAAGATGCGTTCCAGACGGCGAAACACGTGGCTGCTGGCGAACGGCACGATATCGGTTCTATGTGGAAAAAAAAAAAAAAAAAAAAAAAAGAGAAAGAAAGAAAGAAAGAAAGAAAAGACTTTCGGACTAGTACATAGCTACATCCACACGCGATACAGCACACACGAGTACGTATGTCTGCCCCTTCTCCACCTATATATTCGTTCCCGATGGAATCCCGCCGGAACACGGCCTATCTTCATCTGTTCTGCTCGCATTCTTTGCCTTCGCTCCTATCGCTATGATAACCCTGAATCATCGTGAAACAATTATTTCGAAGGCGGTGCATATAAATTACACGCTAAGGCATTCACGTAACTATTATTATCTGAACTGACGCGACTAGTAAATGACTGATTTCGGTTGTGTCCTATACTTTAAACTATCCTCGCAAAAAATACTCACTAACCGCTACGATGATGACGACGATAACGATGATGATGATGATGATGATGATGATGATGATGACGGCGATGATAATCGGGACGACGAGGACGACGACCGACGATGATAACGGAGATAATGACGCGATAAAAGATAACTGATAACTACGACGATGCGACATGAATAATAATAATTAATAGCTACAAGAGCAATCAGCTCGTAATTAACAATTATCATCTTACAGATTTATGATTGTATACGTCTTATGTATTAATTGGCGAGGCTCCCGGCAAATTAAAATCTCTAATGTCATTTCTCTGATTTGCATTTCATTATCAACGTTGCATTATTCATTCTCGTTCTTTTCTCCCGTGATAACTGATTTTCGAATAATGTATAAAAATTGGCACCGGACATCGAGATTAGACGGACAATCCTGCACGGCCATTATTGTGTATCTCAACAATACAATTTACAGATAAAACAAAAAATGATCAAAACTTGTTTTCTAAACAGCATTTCATCCTGATCTCATTGCCGTTAATTATTCGCTGCCCATCTAATCCCTTGAAAGATTCACAGTACGAGAAAAAAAGAACGATCAAATTCGACTTTTCGAATCGTTCAGCGAAGAGCGTCACCAATCGTCACCGACGTGCTGCATGCGGTATATAATAATATTATTAATAATAATAATAATAATAAAAGCGCACGGTGCGCGCGCGTATCTCTTAAAAAAAAGAAAAGGAAAAAAAAAAAAACAACTTCCGCGTATAAAAAGCCCCGCATAGACAGGAGAGGCGGTTTATCTCAACCACCTCCGTGTCCCTCGTACCGCGGGGGAATACGGCAGGAGCGATCAACGAGCAAACAACCCACCAGAATGATCAGCAGTGGCATACTCGGTGAGCAACGGCGATGCGGCCAGGGCGGCATAGTTGGCGTAGTCCGCGTACGGCGTGTAGATGAGTCCGTGAGGATCGCCGGCCGACAGGAGCGAGCCGGGCGGTCCGGAACCGTTCAGCAGGGACGCGGCGGTCGTCGGCACCGATATCCGCGGCGAGAGGATCAGGGGCGCGCCCAGGGGCGCGCTCGGAGTCCGCATCGGCGTCGCCAGGCCCGGCAACAGGCGTTGAGTCTCCGCCGCGGCGGCGGCTACCCGCCGCCACTCCTCGTCGCAGGCTGCAACAACGGGTGACACTGAATAGCTTATTTCCCTGCGTTACGATCACGTCGCCTGGGCATAACCGCCGGGCACGGAACGGTGAGGCCATATCCAGGGAGAAGGATTCAAATTTTTGAAACAAGTTATGATTTACAAAGCCTAACATTTTTCTCGTTCAACATCAGGAACGAGGAGATCTTTTTTTTAAGCTCTAAAATATCCAAAAAAGTAATTTATTAATGCAAAAAAATTGCTGTTTATGTGTTAACGGAATTGATAACGCTCCTTGTCCGTTCTCTCGAAAAAAATCCTGGATACGCTCATGAGACACTCGATTCATTATCGGAAAAATTCGAAAGCGAGCTTAAAATCTGGATTACAATATATTGATAAGTTAAATGAAATCTCTATCAGAAGTAATTTAATAAAAAAAATGCAGGTCAATATCTGACAGAAAAACTTGCTTTTCCATTCTTCTTCTTTGTTCACAGAGCCTTGATTTCAATAACCACGTATACCTCGTATTCGCATTTCTCAAGCAAAGTTTCTCTTTGAAGTATCTTTTAAGATATGTCTTTCACATCTCTAATAGAAGCGATTGATTAAATTAGTTCTGGACAGATAAAATAGATACGCGAAGAATCATTAGCCAAGGAAGATTAAGCTTAAGGAGAATCTGTTAGGCACTTCACGATCATTGCAAATTCTTGCTTCTGACTCGCTACACGAGAATCACAACCATTAATATTCACAATGTTTGCTCACGCTTGTTCTCGAAACTTTTCCAAAAACTATGTATACCGGGAGTCCCAGATTTGACTGAGGAGAGAGTCGTATTATTGCGGAGTCGTATTATTTCAAGAGAATTATTTCGTTAGATTAGTCATTAATACGCGCTAGAGAATGATCACATTAATCGGCATAATAATGTCGTTTACCACGCGTTTCCTCCAATGCAACGAGATAAAGTGAGATGGTCGCAATAAAGTAATTCTTTATTAAGTGGATTTCTCATCAGGGAGCCTATTGCCTCGAATGGCGGTATATCTTTAGATTCTTAGATCTATGATTCCCGATCTCGGATCGCGGAACGTGCCCGTGCGGCTCTTAAGCGGGCATAATGAGACAAGTTCTGCGAACAGTACCTGCCGCGGCGGCAACCTTTGTGTTCGAATCCCGGTAAGTCCCATTGATAATGGCGAGTTCCATTAGCTGCCTCTTCTTTAGCTCATCCTCGCCGTCAGCCTGCTAACAATCGACATTACCGTCAGAACGCACCACCGGAGGTGCAACGATAATTATTCTACGAATAGAGGGGGAGCACGACGCGTTGTACAGATCTTTTTCCATTTACATATGAAAGCGCCGATTGTATCGTCAACATCGTGAGCACGCACGAGGTCACTCACTTCGGAAGTGGCATATACATATTTTGAGCCTCGATAGAGCCCACTTATAATCACGTTATTTCGAACATTGCAGAAAAAATTAACATTGAAAAAAGAATATCAAATCGCACAAATTTGTTCAAATGTTGAGAATTTTTGTTTTCTCTCTCTTTCTTTCCAGCAAAAGTCTCCTTGAAATTTTTAGACCCCGATCGAAATTAGAGAGAAGAGAGAATGAATTTGTGGGAAAGTCTCCCGGCGAGATCTCTCTTCTCTTTCTTAGCGCACGGGACTCAGGATCATTTATAAGAGTGTACAATTGGAACTTTCTCACCACGGGCACGAGCAGCTTCTTGACTTCCTCGACAGCGCGGGCGAGCTTCACGGTGGCACGATTCTCGGTGTCCTCGACAGTGAGTAACACGTGCAACTCGTCCGTCAGGTGTTCCCAATTCGGCTTGCCCCGATTCTGTTCCTCCTGGTTAATCAACACGTCACGCAATTGTTATACGCACCCAAGCACTTGCTGCATAATACATGTACACCCCGCGATACAAACTTACACAGCCACTGAGTTTACGTAAAATTACCGTTGCAAATAGTAACATGAAAAAACAAAATACAAAAAAACTTCAGTGCCTGGCGATAGAAAAGAAATATTAAAAGCAGTATCGCGTGATTGATATAACCTTTGATATAACTCTTGACACAGTATTATAGCTCAAATAAATTCGACTAACGAAGCACTGAGCGTAAATTTTTATCGCGGGCTTTTGTCAACCAAATAAACGGCAGTGATAATAATCGAGGAATACATTTGGCATTCACGTTGAACGGCGTGGAAATAATAGATACAGACATCAAATTCACTTCAAATTGTACATCGAGTTCGTTTCTACATGTATACTTACGAGAAAGCATTTCGCTCGTGTACCACGTGCAGCTTGAAAAAATACGCTGGTTTAATGCTCTATATGAATCACTCACAGTTAATTCTAAACCTATTTGTCGCTGTCCCTGATATGATTCCCCGATTTATTGCAAGCATTCCTTACTTAGAGTCTATATTAGCTTCACAATATTAATTTAAAAAAAGTATTATTTATATATAATTCACACCAATTATCTGTACTCACGACATTCGTAAGAGAAATATAGTAAAGCGCAATTAAGAAAAGTAAATCTAGTTGATTAGTAGAACTAATCGTTATTAAAATAATCATCATCGCCTGTTATTAATTTCAGGTCGTTATCATTAACGAACATGACGTATCTCTTCACGATATTTTACATCAATGAATGTTGCTCTTTTCAATTAGCATTGAGAACGTTCTTCAAACAAATTTTAATTTTTTTTAAATTCTTTTTAATTTTTTTTAGTTTCTTTCATGATTAGACGAAAAAAATTTTAGTTTAACAGATTTCAGCTTTCAAACTTTTTTACCTTCTTTTTGTCCCTCATCGACCCTTTTCCGCGCACCATGATTTTGCATCCTGTCTCTTGTTCCAGTTGTTTCGCGGTCATACCCCGTGGCCCTAAAATCCTCCCGACAAAGTTGAACTGCGAATCACACGACGTAAAAACTTATTAAAATCTTCCATTTTTGTGAGACTAACATGAACCGGAGAAAAGTCAATCCTCCATAACAGAAATATTCGAAAGAAAAGAAACTAATACTATATAGATAAGAAAAACTAAAAAAATCATTAAATTTATCACCGAAAAAAATTTGATCTTAACAAAAATATTCGAAGAAAAAAAAGATAACACTATGTAGATAAGAAAAATGTAAAAATCACCAAATTTATCACCGAAGAAAATTCGATCCTAATTTCACAGATATATTCAAAGGAAAAGATAACACTGTATAGGAAAGGAAAACTTAAAAATTCACTTTTCCAAATTTATCTAATCGTTATAGTCTTATTTTCATTCCGATAATTTGAATGCATACGTGTGTGTAAATTTTATATACATAGCGGCATACTTAATAAATCTAAATAAATAAATACATATCATCTAGTTTCATGCGAAGCGTTAGGTGCTAAACTTGGCTTGTACAATCGTGTGAAAAAAAGACTGTTCTTCACGAGATATCCAGTTTCATTGTTGGATCCCGGTAAATAAAGGCGGATAAGTTTAGACGGTGAATCATCCGCGACTCTTTAAGCCGATGCTGGCCCATTTCTTTTTATTTTTTCTTAAAAATTCCATTCCCGAACGTTTTATTATACATAATTGAAGCGTGTTTAATTGCAGTGGAAGAACAGATTAGACTCGAGAAAGACTAGAAAGACCTCGTTTCATTTATCTGAAACAAATGTAATTCAACGTAATAAACACATAACGGAGAATGATTGTGATCCTGGCATTTCAGTGTAAAATTATGCAATCGTTTCGAAAGATAAGATGACGAGTTACTGCGCTAGGCGCTCCGTAGAAGTTCTCGATGATAAGAACTATGCGTCGATATCGCGAAGTAGTATCGAAAACTCAGTATCAATCAGTATGAAATCAGTACACGATAATCGAATAATTGCCGAGTCGATGGGCGTACAAAGCGAGACCGCGTGTCGCGCGATAACGAACGAATCGATCGATCATTCGTAAGAGGCTCGTTCATATAATGAGCTAATAATCGTGGACGCCCGCGATCTTCGATCGTTCTCGTATGCGTAGAAAAAAAAAAAAAACCGCCCGCCTAATTTTTTTTCCTCCGCCCATTTATTTCCTCTAAATGAATAAAATGTAGCAGCACGGGGATTTGGACAAAGGAGAAGAGGATCTAGAGAGAACTCGTTCGAAGGGGTTAATAAGCTTACGACCCGGTTATTACGTCTCAATGAGAGCCAACCGCGCGATGGCAGAAGCGCGCGCGAGCGAGACGAAGAAACGGAGCGTGGAGAAGGAAAGGGAGTCGGTCTCTTCGGCGCGAACCCTATTTCGGGCGTTACAGAAATAACATTCAGCGTTCGATGTTCGGTGCACGCAGCGCGCATCGCTCGATCCCTCGCGTCTCCCGAGAGATCGGCGAACGATACTCTTCCTCTCCGCGCGGGCTCACGGAGAAAATTACTTCCCGTTACTGGAAGACGCGAGACGCGTCCAAGAAACGCGAAAGATGTAAATTTTCGAGGACTCACAAACGTGAACGATTATCATGACAATCCGGGAGGTGCGCCAAGCTAATATTATACACGTACGCCGCGAGTCCCTCGCGGTACTCACATCTGGGTGTTCCTTAACGGGCACGTAGACCTTCTCTGTGAGCGTCGTGAGGTCGCCCTCGGCTTCCGGCAAGACGAGCGGCTCCTTCTTCACTCCGCTGATTTGAAAAAGGCTCGCCCGCACTTTCGCAATCTCTGTAATATGAAAATAATTCAGCCATCAGTACGTGATTATTAACAATTCACTCGAATTCGCGAAGAATCGAAAAAAACTGATTATGATCTGGGTTCACCTAAATTGGGAAATTAGCGCATCCCATTTTCAAAATTTCGATATATAATTCATCTAGCTCCTTTTTGAAAGTTTCACAGCTCAAAAAATTATAATTATAATTAAAGATAAAAAAGTAAATATTTCTTCGGATATCTCTCTTTAGATGTCTGCTTAGCGTTTCTCCTTCTTGATCTCTCCTTTGTTGTTTCTTTTGTGCTTCAAATGGAATCAATCTGAATTCGTCAATAGTTCTCGATGGGAGAACTTTCGGAGAACTCGTACAGGGTCTCGTTGTGACACGCCGATTGTGATGAATGGCCAATCTACGGGGGGAATCTAGGGTGACCGTTATGTTAACGAGGAAAACGAAACGAAGCGCAAGCGAAATGGAACCGCGTGCATCCTTCATTCGATAATACGTCACGCGATTGGTCTTTATATGCGGCGTCTGACTGTATAGCGATAACGATAACGTATAAGCATACCTATGCACGCACGCACGCACGCATGCACTTACATGACTTATCCGTGCGTTAAACGTAGCGCTAATAACGGCGCTGCGAATCTAACTGTTGGGCGTGGCATCGCTTTTAAGTTGCAATCAGAAAGGTCTTTCTGAAATTTTCTTAATCGGCTCTTTGTTCATTTGTTTTCTAAATCAATACCTTAGCACAGGACAGTTGACAATAGAGCGATTGACACACAGCAGAAACAATTAGAAGAATTGTCTACGTCATTTGAGCGAGGAATACTTTAACCCTTCACTTCTTAAGGAAATTTCGAAATTTTATTAAGCAAATTAAAAAATTTACACTTACGTTTAAAAAACATTCTTCACATTTATGTGTTGAATTAAAATTAAATAAAATCGTGGTTTATAAACTACAATTAAATAATTATCATCAATCATGTGTATAATGCATAAAAACCTATTGTAATTCATACATAAAAGAAATGGCACTAATATTACACAAGAAATTAATTATTTGTACCATAAACAATATATTTTTCTTTAAAAAGAAAAAAAATTGTTTTTCAAACTATCTAAATATTAAATCTAATTCAGTGCTATTGAAGTAATCAACTCCGATTTTGGGATTTTGACATAAAAGGAAATCGCGCTTAGACGATCGGGCCCCGCGTAGAGGCCGATCGCAAAAGGTCCACCCTCCGGCTAGGTGAGCTAAAGGTGACTTTGTTTATCCCGTGTTCAATCGACAAACCGTGCATCGGTATATCGCGATGAAGGATCGCGGGGCCCTCCGTCGTGCGATCCGGTCGTGCTCTTACAGCGCATATATCCGCCGTAACCGTAAAGGTCAACGTTCCGCGTCTGCCCCACTTTCTCGCATGCCTGACCTCTTCGACTCTTCGTCGTCTTCCCCGTGCCAATGATCCGTGCGCACGCGACGATACCGAGGCCCACGATGTGACCGCAAAATCCTCGCTTTTCGCGTAAACCATTCGTAAATCACGCGTGTAACCGTAACCGTGCCGAGGCCGAAGCGACTGAAATTTGTCCCAGTCTGAAAGGACGTAAAGGCTGCTACGTAACAATCCGCGCCTTCCTCACCTGTCCCCGAGATCGCTTCGCATAGATAAATCATGCAATCGAAAAATTCAAACCCGATGGGCTTCGACCTGCTCAACTTACTTACGCATGTCTGTCATTTTGGACAATCTGTCCGCTCTCGAAACTCGTCTCTCAACAGACTGTATGGAATTAAACGTGTGTTTTCAATCACGTAATTTTGTTCTTCCGATTCGAGAAAATCTTATGTCATAGAGGTGCAAATTTATGAATAAACGATGAGCAAATGTAATTTCCGTTTCGTATTAAATGCATCCTTAATGTCACAAATGAATCGATCAGTGGCTGCGCAATAAATCGTTTACGGCAGTTAATGACTACACATTAAATTCGCTTCCTCTAATGAAGCACTCGATTATCTTGAAGAGAAGCCGATTATTAAGCCTCTCAATGGACGCGCTGTTTTTATTCAACGAGGAAAGACAGGTGGAGCGCGACTCGGAATGACGTATATAATTGAGGAATTTTTTGCAGATCGCGAGGCATTCTCAAAGCGCTCGCTTGAAAATCGTCGTCGCAAAAAAATGTTAATGTCGCATTTGTCGGAGGAGTATCTCGTAGGAAAATCTCGAGCCGATCGATCGATTATCGCGTGGAGAAAAAGAAAGGACACATTCGGTTTCTTCCTTCGCGTGGTCGTTCGACCGAGAGGCGATTTCTCGACGATGGACACGCCGCTAGTTATCACACTTATTGCAAGTGGAAAACGGCAGATCTTTTACTCCGACGCGCGTGCATGCCGGATTTCTCGATGCGAGTCATCTTGCAACAACCGCAATTTTCTCGAGAGTGGCGAGGAGGAAGAAGTGGGAGAATGCGTCACGACGATTCGCGGTATGTCTCGCGTTGCGCGCTTCTCTCTCTTTCTTTCTCTCTCTCGCTCCGTCTTTCTCGTGCTCTCGACTCGAGAGGAGACGGGAGAATCGAAGGCGCGAGGAATTCACGCGAGAGGGAAACGCAGATACGTGGATTAGAGTCGTGCGGACAGATAGACGCAGATAGAAAAACAGTTGAGGAAAGAAGGAGGAGGAGGAAGAGGAACGGGAGAGAAGAGGGGGAAATATAAAGGAGGGCATCATAGCCGCTTTTAGCATGGCGCGGCTCACCAGTCCATCTGCGTGACATCAGCTGACCGTCGCTCTTGGCTCTTCTCTCTCTCTGTCTCTTTCTCTCTCGATCTTTCTTACGTCCCTCAACCCTTATCCCCTCGCGTACTATCATTAAATGCGTGATGCGTGTAGTTGCGCCAGTGCAAGAGAGAATCTGCGAGAGAGAGAGAGAGAGAGAGATTCCATCTTCGTTCAATGTCAACGTGGTGGACAGCCGCATTTAACAACACATGCGTCGCAAGGAACAACACATCGCGTTACGGGAAGAGCAACAGCAAGAACATCGGTCGTAGAAGCGAAATCTCGATTATTCGGATATCTCAGCGTCACGTGATGAGCGCGCGTGGGTGTGCGCCAGGCGAGGAGATATCATCGCGCGTCGCGACGGCGACGGCAACGGCGATGGCATGAGATCACCGATGTTGTAATCGAGTGAGACAACACGATCCGTGACCGCATATCGTTCGGAAGCTGAGAGGGATCGTCCTCCAAAGACATACAGTATACGATACTGACAAGCCTCGATCCCCCCCCTCCCTTCCCTTCCCTCTTGCTCTGTCTTTCGCGTGATATGAATCATGACGCCGCGTCGCTCGATCAATCGCTCGCATTTAACGCGAGATTTAGTATCGAACGAAGAGAAATATCTCCGGATCTCCATCATGTTTTAATCGGTCGTCGGTTTTTTCCGATCGTATTGACACGTTTTTCGAGAAATTAAAAAAATGGAACGACAATAAACTGTAACTCTTCGTCGGGAGCCTGTCACGTGGGCTTGTCATAGGTGACGACAAAGGCGGTTGCCAGCCGCCGTCAGCTGGATCCTCGCGCTGCACGAATATAGGAAATGCCGTTACAATGAGAGAATGCGACTGTGTATCGCCGATGCGTTACGTGATATCCATTTTTAGATCGAGTACCGGCGAACTTGACTTTAAGAGACTGCCTCAGACGACAAATACAAACGCACACAAACGAGCGCTACACAATAAATGCAAATACAATCGCGATTAGACTATCATTACTGCTGCTTCGGATAATTGCAACTCGTTACGCGATTACGTCCGCTAACGTTCCGTAATGAAATAATAAACGGACACGTGCGAGTTTGTGGCGAGTTTTGATTAACTTGATGATGAGAGACGCGTCGAAACGTCGTCTTCTCGCGGACTTGGAGGATAAATCCGCCCCCGATGTCTCTGGCGACGTCGAGACATCGCAGGTACGACGGCATAAAATTCATAACTAGCTCATCTATCTTGCGCTGAATCCTTAAGCAATTCCCGGCTTATTTTTGCGCGATGAGGCAAGCGTGTCTATTTATAAGCGCCGTTGCTCCAGAAATTTTGCGACAAATGCGAAATCCGCGAATCGAGGACGTAAGAATCGGGATCGCCGTACAGGCGCGTCCTATCGATGAGCACAACATTTAGGAATACGTAACAACGTGTCGGATTTCGAAGCTTTCACCCGTCGGTCTTAATGCAATGCCTGTCCGTCTAGAAAAACAGCTATTCATCTAATATTGGCATACATTTACTTTGGCAACATTACCGCGTTCTGATTTCTCGACTCCGCACAATTTTTTAAATACATATATTCTCTCTCTACATATATATATATGTATATGTATACATGTGATACGGTGATATTTGTCACGTATTCTACACAGTGTGCGAAAAAAGTTGATTACCTTACTGAATTCTCACGCAGGTAGAATATCATTAATCCATTGAGATTTCGCTCCGATTTCGTTTCCGGATCGAAGTCCGGTGGATTTGTTTTCTTTCTTTCGTCCTTTCTGTTTTTCTAACATTTAATCACCTCATATTAAATACGGAAAACGCAATTACAAAAAAATGGACGGAATTTCTGCAAGAAACTAAATTCTTTTAATCTACAGGATTACATCGCACGTCTGATAAATGTTAGATGTGCAGAAATGATTTCTTGGCCTTGTGCGTGATTTCGAACGGTCGATTCCCAGGAGAAACGGATTATCGCGCAGGACACTCTCTTTTTTGGTCGAAAACGAATAATGCCGCCGGTGTATATCGTATTGATGACGGGAAGTTACGATACCAGTTACGCGCTGTCGCTCCGTAAAAAAAAAACTCGAGATACCGAACTCACGATTTCACCCTGACCGTATCATTAATTACCATGCGAGAAGAATCTGATAACAAGATTCAAAAAAAAAAAATATATGGAACACGGTTGA